AACAGACACATGATTGTAAAATTAATACATTGCTTGAAATGCCGTGACAGCCTGCTAAAACGAGCCCTGACCACTTGATGGATGCTTGTGTCACTTGAGGATGCTCTAGGTACGGGATCCTTCTTCGTTCTGAGCCTCTATTTACAGCCAGCACTGCATACCAGACACTATATAAAATCACGAGACGTTTTAATCTTGTAACACAGACAGACTGACTAGATTGACGTATTTACTAGCCACCTCCAGATCAAGCTTTTCCCTCTTAATGACAGAGCAGTTTTCTTTGTGGGTAGTTGTCCGCTGCTCTTGGAGATAAAAAAAGATGCTGTAACTTGGTGTTCCTTTCTTGAGAGGTGTATTGACTTCGTAGATAAGTATGAGATGAGTCGCAGCCTGGGGCAACGCTTGCAGGATGTTTCCCATGAGAACCAAGCTTTTGTTTTTCCAATTTATCTTAATCAAATCTAGCTTGACATGTTTCCCCCCTATGGAAGGGCTGAGTCTTGAACCCAGTAGGAAAAGCAGTGTATCCATGGAGGAAAACAGATTTTTAGTGCATTAAGTTCAGCAATGAGTTCACTGTAATATTTTTCTTGCTGGTGGACATATCACTTTTCTTTGTGAAATGTTTCTAAATTAGAGACAGTCTAAAATTATGTCTTCCCCAAAAGTAAAAGGTTAAAATTAGATGTAGTTGTTCTCGTGGTCGTGTCACTTCAGCAGGGTGGCTGTTCTGTGAAGGGGCATGTGAGAAACCGACACTTGATACGGAGTTTGTGTGCAGCTTTAGTTGTGTTCACACTCTAGGTGCACAGAATGATGAATAATGTGAAAGTATCATTAATTTTTAATTGGCTGTTCAGTCATTTTTCCTTATGGTAAGGACTTCTCTGTTGTAAGTATTATAACCAACATGTTTTTAAGGAATTTTACTTCTTGATTTTTTTTTTTTACATGTGCCTGCTGTCTCTTTCTGCTTTCACTGATGGATTTCCAAGCATAATTATAGATAAAGAGATTATACTTTCGAGAAATTTCATAGTACAGCATTTAAAGTAACTTATTTATAAGGATTAGCAGTGTCTATTCTAACTTGAATGCCTTCAATCACTGAACTAAAACTTCTCTGAAGGCCTGTGAGTCCAAGAGTTCGAGGTTACCTTCTAGGAGACATTAGGGTTGTATAGCTAAGGATTTCCAAACTCCCCTAAATTACTATTCCTAAAAAAATAGATTTATGTTGAGTTGATCTTGATGACCAGATCTTGTCTTGTTTGATTTGTAAATTGTACAGATATTCCTAACAAATCACATTCCTGCCTAACCACAGGCTCCTTCTGGTCGTCAGCAGTGGCAAGCAAATGTTTCTCACCCGAGTCAGCACAATGTTTCTCAATTTCTTCTCTGTTAGCCCTTGTTAGTGCCTCCTGCAATTTAAAAGAATAAAAAAAAAGTCATTGGAAGAGGATGAGGGAAAGACAGTTGGTGTTCAGGATCTTACATGCCTTGAATTTCAGCGACTCTGCCCGATTTGGCAAGCGGCGTGTCTACTAAATCACCAGGTTTTGGTATTTGTTGTCTGGTATGACAGGGCTTAAAATAGTTTTGCAAATGCCCTTTTCAAAGGTAGAGCTCCAGTCAGAGTCAAAGAGGGGATATCTTAGAGGTTTTCCTAAAGTGTTGAAATAAATAGAGCTGTTGCGGAGAGGCAAAACGCTCTGAGTATTTACTGTGACCCCACACAGAGAAGGAGGAGGAGAGGGTGGAGGAGGTATTATTTGTGGAGAGGATTAAAAAACGGTATGAGAATTAATCCTTCTGGCACAGAAAACATCTGAGTGTGTGTTGACTGGGATTTTCCAAAGGTGGCACCTACAGCCCATTTGCAGTTGTTTCCCTGTTCCATTCAGAGTTAAACCATCACTATTGCTAAATGTAAAGCCCCTCTCTTATGAAACACCCCGTGACCCTCCCACTCTTCCTCCCCCCCATCCCATGGTCCTGTTTAGCCAGCCATTGTTTTGAGGTGCCTGGTAACCAGGGCTTTGTGGAAGAGTGCTCGATGTAAGCTCTCAGAGCTGAGCTAGAACAAAAGCAGATGTCGGAGATGTTGCCTGCAGCCTGCCAAGCTGGGAGACGTGGTCCATTGGACTAGCAGGACGCTGGGCTCCGCTGCCAGAGGAGGACACAAGATTGTTCTCCTTTCCTTTGGCTCGCTCCGAGTTCCAGTACTTCCACACTTCATCACTCTAAATGAACCGTTTATGCTTTATTTCTTATTCCAGTTAAAATGTGGCTTCTGTGGGTTCCATAACTCCAACTTTTTTCCATTATAGAATTGTTTACATTACAGTGGAAGAATTGGGTTCAATTGGCGTAGTCTTCAGGTGGCTCCTTGGCCGTTTATGGCTGCTTTGTGAAATGCCTTTTTTTCCATTGGATACTTGTAAAATTCTTCCCTTTGCAGACGTTTGTTGAGACTCTCTTAACAGGAGGCAACGTTTTGAGACCATTAAGCCATTTCAAGGACGGCAGCTCTGTGGAGAGAAGCTGCTCATGGCGAGAAGCTCCTGCAGCAGCCTCCTGTTGTCATTGCTTGCTCTCCTGAGATTGCATGGTCTTCTTTGCACACCGTGTGTGCAATTTGAGAAGAAATGCTGGTAATGCCATCACTGAAACCTCACGAGGGGTTGGGGGCCTCACTAGTAGCGATTAAATTTGTCTCTTACTATTATAAAACTGAAACTAACAGTCTCCCGTCGCAGCTGGCTGTAGTTAGACTGTAGTGTGGCACGTCTTCCAAATTTTGTGGAACTGAAAATCATACTTCCTGATTCACACACCATATCTCACTACCTTGGCAACGACCTTACCCTTACTCTCAAGGGAGCGTAGGAAACGGTCATTTACAACTCAAGTACTGGGGATTTTCTCCATGCAAATTTGCTATTCAAGAGAATTTTATTGCAAATTTCTGCAGGTGAAAACCATTAATTTAAGGAAGATGGCTTGAGACCTTTTTTGTCCCAAGGTAGCTGTCAGACTGCGGAGGAGCAAGGAGGGGATGGGATTAAATTCCCCAAGTTTCTGAGTACAGTGGAGAAAGTGGTTCCCAGGTTTGCCATAAACGTACTTCAAAATTTGAAGAAAGTTTCAACTCTCTCTTTGCATCTGTCCTCGATCAGTAAAATAGAGATAGGTTATTTGTTTATGTATGAAGCTGCTGGGTGTACACTCTTGTGTATCAACTTCTGGATCTCCTCTTTTTTGGTTTTACTTCAATTAATCTTTTTTTTTTTTTTTACGAGAGAGGCTGTGCCTCCTTTATCATCTCATATAATCCAGAGTATGCCAATGCACTTTGAATTGGTTTCTTGTAAAGTAAGAAGGAAGAAATAAAAGAATGTGCTTGGTATCGGAGCAGCTCGTCTTTTACCAATTGCATACCAGAAGAATGGTTCTATTTTGAATTGTTTATGTATTACAACAGTAGTCACAGCTGTCACATAGAAAAATATAACTGATTTTTTTCAGCATTCTTATTTCACTGCCACTAAAAAATTACAGTATCAATGTAATTGCCTAAGTCCAGTACCCTGGTCTCTTCAGTGGGACCTGAAATGGGGACGTGAGTGACCCCGGCTCAAATCTTCTTCCCAGCAAGTCTAGAAAACGCAATGGAACTTCACCTTTTATGTGAGACCTGCTGTGGAATTTCACCCTTTAATGTGCAAATGAAGCCTGCAGGGTCCTCTGAATATATCTCTGGCTCCTGCATTTCAAAGTAGGCTTTGGAAACCTTGTGCAGGGCAACGGCAGTGCTGAGGTCTGTCATACTTTCCCTCATTATGCTGTAATAAATCTAGCTTTGGTTTGGGTTGGGGGGTATCAGACTCCCTTATTGGTCTAATAAAACATGACTCACTGAAGGGAAAAAACGTAGAAGAAAATTGTTGACAATATGTTTCCTAACTTGACGTCAAAACCCATCAAATCATTAATAGCAGAAGTTAAGGTTTGAGTAATTTGTTCTGCACGTAAAGAAAACTTGAAAATTTATTTGAATCTGTGACTTTATGAAAAGACCTTAGTTTAGCTCTTCTCTTCTTTCCCAGACAATGTTTCCCTGACCTTTTGCTAACTGATTTCTCTTTTAGCTACAACATCTAGTGTTCAGGCCGTAGACTATTTGAATTGCCTCTCACTTCTTTTGTACTAAAATAATGGCAATTCTTTCAGGTTTCTGAAGTATGTAGCAGTTCAATTCTTGAATAGATTTTAAAGCTAGTTTTATTTGGAGATCCGTCCAAAAGAATACTTTCATGTAAGATGGAGACTAGAAGTAATTCAATTATCTGACATTTAAGTAACATATAAGTGTTGGATTATGTTTCAAACCATTTTTAGCAAACAGCAGTAAGGTCACTTTCTTGTATAAATAGAAAAACTGACACAAATTCAGCAACCGATTTTGGGAGAAAGATCCAAAAGTTAAGAAAGTCCACTGTAAGATGTCATAAAGTCCCAGTCATTTAAAAAAAAAAAATAACATAGACGATGGTGGCATTTAAATTCTAAAAGCAACATTAGGGAAAACACCAGCTCTAATAAAGCTGTAGGCCATAAATACCTACTTTAAAGGAGAACGTTTTAAAGTCTTGAAAATTTTCCTGTTTTTTTAAGAAGTCAGGGTTCTTATTTATCGTTGGCAACCTCATACTACTGTACAATGGCATGGCAAGAGCTGAAAGGCTCCTTAAGTTTTGGTGGTTTTTTGTTTGTTGTTTTTTTTTTTTTTTTTTAAAGAGCATTAATAGCTCAACATTGCACTTCAGATGGTCAAAAAAACCTCTAACATTTTACATATATAACAATATTAATGGCCAAAGTGAGAAAGACTAAGTTTTAGCTTAAGTTCCTTGCATCAGGGACAAACGTGGATTTTTAACTTATATTATAACTAACATAAAATGCATTTGAAATTACTTGTGTTTTTTCAGGGTCCACACATAGCATCAGTTACTCTTGCTGCATACGAATGTAACTCAGTTAATTTTCCTGAGCCTCCTTACCCGGATCAAATTATCTGCCCTGATGAGGAGACGACTGAGGGATCCATCTCGTTATGGGCTATCATCTCAAAAGTCAGGCTGGAGGCCTGCATGTGGGTAAGGTTTGATTTACAAAACTTAAGCAATTTTAATTTATGTACTTAATTTCTGTGTTCAGCAATACACAAAAATTCCTGAATTAGCAAAATAATGATAGCTCACACTGCTAACAGTAACAGGTATATCTGTGATGTGAATAGATGCTCTCCTGATCAACATTCCAGCCCTGGGTAATTTTAATGTCCTTCGAAAAGAAGTAATAGGATATTATTGAACTCTCTCTTATCAGCTGCAGCCTTGACTACTTTTCTAAATGCTAGCAGAAAATGCTCCTGTACTTCAAAGCTGTTGATGGAAAAGGTAAGTTTCGGAAAGGGTATCTGCATCCCATATGATCTGTCAGGTCTTACACTGTGTGCAGTTAAGCAATAAATAATTCCCAAAATGTTGAGCCTGTAGCTTGAATGAAGTTGCAGTTAACTCATCTGAAGGACTCAGGCCCTAATATCACAGCTGAAATGTTTTTCTGGGTTGCATCAATAGGTTGGATTAAATAAGAGAGTGTTACATTGCACATTTTAATGTATTTTATTTCTGTTTCTCTGCCTGTTTCAATGATGGCAAACGTTTCTCTTAAAACAGAAAAAGCAGGTTAGCTTTTAAGTGGAGCAGGGTCTTAGGAAATGCTGTCATTGGAACTTCCTTTCCGTTTTCCTTTTTTTCCCTTCTGCAGCTTTTTATAGAAATTTGATTTTTCAGAGGATTTTGGTCAGCTAAGATGTTTTATTCATTATGTATAGATTATTTTGAATTGCAGTTTACACACATGCATCTGCTGTGAACTGCATGCCAAATTAACTTTATTTTACTACTGATCTCCTGTTCTAGCTGATTAAATTCTTGGGTGTCCAATTCAAATGTAGAGAGGAAATTCTGAAAATATATGGTATCTGATGTCTGCCCTTGTATTCCTTCTAATGATATGAAAAGATATATTAAGGCAACTTTGGTCAGCATAACTTTTAAAATTATCAGCAGCTGGGTTACTTACACAAGTTCTGGTTTGGTTGTAAGCGTTACAGACTACAATAATGTGTAGCAGTACCAAAGTCAAAACAGTAACAGAGAAAGTGAACTTACAGCCCTCTCGAGGAGCAAAGTACATCTTAAACGTGGCTCTTCCTAGCGAGAGGACAGACTTGCCTGAATGCTTGATAAGTGGCTAAATGTACAAGTACTTATAAGATCATAAATACAAGATTTCTTTTTATTTTCTTCCTCGTCTCCCTCTGCTGAAGTTTGTTTAATGGAGACTAGAGTAATAAAAATGGCATTTACAATTATGTTTCTAGGGTTGCAAAATAGGAATGTAGCTCAGGGTAAACATCTATTGCTTAATCCTCAGCATGTAAAATAACTGAACTATGATGAGAATTAAGTAGTTTAGAAATGAGTTAGCAGAGTTGCAAGAATGGGAAGCTTGTGTCCTGCTGAGCAGCGTGAGGGAGCACCAACGGTACCTTCAGTCTCTGTTCGAGCTGTGTTTCTTGGTTCAGGCTTGGGAAAGGACAAGGGAATAGGACCAAGCAAGAATGTTCGTGTTCATATTCCCCTCTTCCCCCCCTTTCTTTCTTTCTTCTTGCCTTCAAATTCGCTGTCAGCTACCTTTTCACTGAACTCTGTCTCCACTAGATTTTCCCTTGGGAGCATCCTCTGTCTACCAGTGGTGTCTAGTGTAATGTTATGCTTTCTTGGAATGTTTCATGAGTACATAAACATTGCTTGCTAATTTCCTGTAAGCCAAATCAAGTTGGCAATTGCTGCTCCTTCTTCCAGTATGTTTCTTTTGTCTTAATTCCAGTTCACTTTCTATGGAAGCTGTTGAAGAAACTTATTTTTGATTCTGTCACTCTCAAACCAGACATCCATCTTAATAGGAAAGCAATGGTGAATTCCAGAAAGTGAAAAGTCTGAATTTTTGCAAATCAGAACCTTACTTAAAAAAAAAAAAAAAAAAAAAAATCTGTTTTTAAACTGAAATCAGGAGTATTCAGTTTAATTCTTAATAATCTGGGTATGATTGAATGAGCTCACAAAATATTTTTTTCTTCTTCGTTTTTTTTTTTAATGATAGCAGCAACTTCTAATTTGATCTAAAATCTGAACTTATGACAAAGCCTGGATAAATGCAAAAAAAAAAAATTAACAGATGTGTACAGATGTGCTCCTAATGCAGCACATGGAGCCCTGTGAGGAATAGGTACAACAGCACCAACAGCCCATTTCTTTTAGACTTGTAAAGTGAAATTATGTTGGAAGGCTCCAAAGTGAAATCTGGCCGATCTCCTTGGTTGTTGGAGGGAGACAGGAGGGTGGTAGCAGTGTAAGTTTTCATGTGAAATGTTGAAAGCAGGAGGGTCCCAGTGGGGACTTGCAGACCTCTGACTATAAAGCTACCCAGACTCAGTATCCTGCAAGGTTTGAACACGGGGATTTATCTGCACAAGGGATTTGATTCAGATCACAAAAACATCAGCGGCGGTTTCAGCCAACTTAAACCAGGTACAGTTTTTTCCAGAGATTAAAATCATTACTAGTCCCCTGCATGTCAGTGGTAGCCATTTTTGCTGATAATGAGTGTTATGAGGATTAAATATCACTGTATCTAAGGAATTATTAGGTGAAATGAAAATGATGCTTTTTTCAATCACTGTAAAAGTTGGCTCCGCCAGTCCTGGCCTGCAGAAGGATTCTTAAAAACAATCTGCTAGGTGTATGCCAGTTTTCACAGCCTTCCATCCCACAGGGACAAGGAATTCGATAGTGCCCTACATTTTTAATGTGTTGCAGCTTTTTTTGTTGGTTTTTTTTTTTACAAGAAATAAGGGGAAAGAATAAAAATGTTTAATTGCTCAGGATTAGCAGAACAGGCGGCCTGTGTCCTGACCAGGATAAAGTCTGTTTAAAAGACTTTCTAGTGGAGTAATTTCCCAGTTTCCTTTTCTGAATGTATTTGTGTAAAAGAATTTTGATTAGCATTTGCCTTTCCAGTTTGCAGTTAGGCCAGGGAATGTCCATGTAAAACTGGCATTCAAAGTTAAATGGTGAAAATGGACAGCTAATGTTACAAAAAGCAGTTAAATAAGTTACTGGTTTGGATCCCTTAATTGCTGCTTTTTTTTTTTTTAATGCACTTAAGGAACCTATCTGCAGCAGACATGAAATCATATGATTTTTGTTGAACTTCTGAAATGTTTTGTAATAATGAGCATGTGACTTATCCAATTTAAAGAAAGTTCACGTCCAGTACACGCATGTGAACCTCTTCCTCAGTGAGCAAAACGAAGCCAAAGCAAATTGGCGGAGCCTGGAGAAGCAATGTGACTTTTTCTTCTTGCATCACCCTGAGAACATAACCTCAAGTTAATTTTTCTGAAACGTTGTTGCTACTGTTTTCAGGCTTATCTTCCCTTGTGCCAGAAAGAGGCAGATTAATGAAGTTCAGCTTGTTTCACTCATTTAAATTTTTCTTCTGTGGAAAACAAGGGTATAAACATGCGAGGCTGTGCACTTCATACGCTCAAACCGAGAATTTAACAGTTTGGGTGACTGCAGAGAGCGGCGGTATTTAAAACCACAACCTGTTGATTTGGAATATCCACAGCAGCTGGAATTCTCCCTTGCTTGCAGCTGCATGTAGAGCAGGAACAAAGGAAATTGAAAGCTTTCACATTGCTTCAAAGGAATAGAAAAGCGTTTGTTACAACTGACCCTAAGAAAGAAAAAGCCATCTGCATGTAGCTAAGTTTTAGCACTTTTCCAGTGTGGTGCCCAACTATTGTGCTGTTACCTGTCCTATATTTAAACCATTCTGACTTTAATCCAAGTTCCTGTTTCATTAGCCTCTGTTTATCCATATGTTCAGTCTTAGCTCTGTCTCTCTTTTCTCTTCTTTTTTTTCCCTTGGTTAAGCTAAAGTTGCCTTTACCCACAAGATTGAAATGAGTCATTTGATGTCCTGAGAAAACAAATATAATTTTCCTGTGGTGAGAAGGGAACCATGCTTTCATCTCGAGTTCTCTTGCCTTTTTTCATTCCATCTTAAGGAGAGAGAAAACTCGGGATCAAGCTTTGCTTAACCTTATTTTCCTTGCTCACAGCTATAGTAAAACTCAAGCCTGTTTTCTAATAAACCCTTGCACAAAGTCTCATGACTGAACAAGTAAACTACGTGACGGCAGCGGGGAGGAGTTCCCAGATTATTTTGAAGGCTGCTCAGGAGCAAGGGCCGTCACATGCCGGCGAATGTGTCTGGCATCACGCGGTGGGGTGAGACGGCGGGGCTGTGCTGAGTCAGGGACGGTGCCGGACAGCGGGCCCCCGGC